AAGATAATATAGAAAGTAAAGATAAAATAAAATAGAAATATTCTAGAAATGGTAAAGGTGCAATAGATACAATAGATACTGAAGATGCAGTAACAGATTTGTAATACAAAACTATTTTAGAACAGCTAATATTTCAAGGGTCAATGCTAATGAAAATTGAACAAAAGGTATTGAAAATCTTGGACGAAAATCAAGTGTAACAGTAGTATGGCCCATCACATTTAGCTACAAACTTAATACTTTTTGAATGCATTAATGTGGCTCAGTATAATAGCACTTTATTACCTATGTCAAATTGTTCAGCTACTCCATTGTGGTTATCATAGTAAGTTTTCTGTTTTTTCTGCATTTTTTACACATGTTTCACTACTTCTTCTCTTGTTTTAGGCAATTGCTTAATCAGATTGTATATGTACTGTAAGATCATTTCATCTTTCATATTCTCAGTGCTAATTGGTTGTATCAGCTACTAGGCTTCTCGACCATATATTAAATAAAATGATGTCATCTTTGTTGTTACATACCTCGCTGTATAATATACAAACAGAATTGATGGAATTACTAGATTCCAGTCTTCTACATTCTGAGTTAGCTTAGTGATTGTCTTACACAACGTATGGTTGAAATGCTCTACTAATCCATTTATTTGTGGATAGTATAATGTAATAAACTAGTGCTTGCTTTGTAACTTTGCCATCAATGTTTTAATCAATTCATTTTTAAAGTAAGTGCCTTGATTCATTATTATTTGTTTCAAGCAACCATGGCAGAAAATGATCTTATTGTAAATAAAATCAGCTATCATCAACACATCTGCTTTTTCCATCGCCAATGCCTTGGGCCATTTTTTCATGTAATCCATGGCAACAATAATGTATCATTTCTGTCAAAGTGTATGGGGTAATGGTTCTACAAAGTCTATTTCTATCTAATGAAATGGCTACTACAGGTATTGATTGCAACAATCCTTGCATTCGGGATCTTTCTTGTTGCTGGCACTAATCGCAAGCTTGTACATACATGTGTATATTGTTGTATATTCATGATCAAAGGTATGTTTCTTTGATTTTTGCTAGCATAGTATTACTGCTGAAATGTCTTCCCAATGAGTGACTATGTGTTAAATATAGTACAGGCTCTACTTCATGCATTAGATCATGTGCCAAAGGTAAGTCTTGTCCTTTCCTTCCTTTTTATAAATAATGTCATTTTTATATACATATTTCTTACTTTCTTTTTGCAAGTGTCACTTTTTCTCCTTACTGAGAGTTGTTGGTAACTCAAGGTGTTGTAGGAAATATTTAAGATGATTAAATCATATAGTTTCTATTTTTTTTTTTAATAGTTTTATTATAGTTCTGTCAGGACACTGGAACCTAAGCTGAATTCTGTTTCTCAGATTTTTTTTTCATGGTTTTGGTGATTTTACTAACTTACTTCACACCCCTTCTACTTTTTACTCCTCTTATTGATTAATTTATGGTGGCTTTAGGAATGAAACAACATGTTAGCATTATTATGTTTCTTGCCGTTGTGATGTACGATTGTAAAATTAAAAGGTTGTAGTTTTAAAATCCATCTTACATGCCTTTCAGATAGCTTTGTTGTCTATAATCACTTCAATGCTATATGATCAATCATCACTACTAAGGGGTTCATGGCATAATAATGCTTATAGTATTCGACTGTCCATAATATGGCAAGACATTCTAGCTCCATGATGGCATAATTCTTCTCATGCTTATTTAATCCCTTACTAGTATGAAATACTATGTATTCCTTATTTTCCTCATCTTTTTGAGCTAAAACTGCACCAAGTCCATATCCAAAGGTATTGGTATGCATGAAAAATATTTTTGCAAAGTCAGGATATCTTAAAACTGGTATAGTAATCAAGTGTTGCTTTAACATTTCAAATGCTTAGTCTTGTTTCACTTTTTATTTAAATTTAGTATCCTTTTTTATCAAATTATATAGTGGTCGAGTGATTGTTGTAAATTCTTTAATGAATCTCTAATAGTATAATGCCAGTTCCACGAACCTTCTCAATTGTTGTAGATTTTTTGGTATAGGAAAATTCTTAATCTTATCAATCTTTCCTTTGTCAGGTCAGATACCTCTGCGACTTACGACATGTCCTAAGAACATAATACTTGGACAAAAAAAAGTACACTTCTCAAAGTTAAGTTTTAATTTAGCTTCTTTCATCTTCCCGATCACTGTACTAACATGTATTATATGATTCTTAAAAGTTTCTGAGTAAATATTCATATCGTCTAGGTACACAACTATGAACTTATCAATAAATTTGTTTAACAGCATATTCATTAGTCTTTGAAACATCGCTGGGGCGTTACACAGCCCAAACGGCATAACATTGAATTTGTAAGTTCTCTAGTTTGTTACAAAAGCCATTTTCTCACAATCTTTCTCTTTTATTATCACTTGCCAGTACCCTGACATCAGATCGAGAATATTGAACCAATTAGCGTTAGAGAAGATTTCAATTAGATCGTCTACTCGAGATAAGGAGTAGGCATTTTTTTTTGTTACAGTATTTAATTTGCAATAATCGACACATAATCATAGTTTTTCTTTTTTCTTGGGTGTGATCTCAATCGGCAATGTCCATAGGCTTTTTAATTCTCTAATATAATCTCTTTCCATAAGCTGCAAGATCTCCTTTCTAATAAACTCCCTTATGTCTGGTGCTGTCCTATATGCATGTTGTTTAATTGGTTTGGCTTCTCCAGTATCAATGCTGTGTCGCACCACTTCTGTACATCCCAATTCTTGTATGCTTTGTACAAATGTATCACGTCCTTCATTAGCATATCCTTTTCTTGTTGTACTTGATTTTCAATTAACTTCTCATTTATTATCATTATATCAACTTCTCCTTTTATTGCTATCTTCTCTTTACTTCTAGTAGGCAACTCTTCCCTCATTATTATATTATCACATTCTTTTACCAGTAACTTCTCTAGTGCTTTTTTAAATTCGTTCTTCTCATCATCAGTTTTTCTATTTGCATCATCACTTATTTTCTTTCCTACTTCTTCTTCAGTTATTATTGCCAGTTTATCTATCTGGGTCAAATATGCCATGGGACTTGGTTCCTCAGATTGCCTTTCATCATTAGGATTAGAGCCATTGCACAATTCTCCAGTATAGTATTCTTCTTTCTCTTTTACTTCTTTTTTCTCATACATGATCTCATCAAACACTCTCTTCATCTCGTCCTTATTAGTCAATTCATCCTCATCAGTTTCAGTACTTGACACTTTTTTTGCTTTATCATTTGTGATGGAAATTTTGATTTTCTTTATATTGTATCTTATTACAAGTTTCTGTTGGTTATAGTAAATTCTAGTCTTCACTTTCTTGAACCAGTCATTTTCCAATAACAACATCTCGTCTTTGGAATCAATTACTTGAAGTGGCGTCAGGATCAAGGTTCTTGTACAGATATCTTCAGGCTGTTGATGTTTCCCAACATTCTTGTTCTTAAACCCGTAATGGATACTATATTTAGAGTTGATTTTTCTTCGATTTTTAATTTTAATCATTTCATTAGTTTACTTGATATGAAACTCACAACAGCCCTAGTGTCAACAACAGCATTCACTTTTGTGTCTTTAATTTTTATCTGGCATTTCATTGCTGTAGTTTTCTTTTTCATGACTTTCATATAATTAGTTTCTACTGGAACCAGCGGTTTTTTCATTGCTTTTGCCAATATTTCTCTTTGCTTCGAGAACTGTAGCATCTGTCCGATTGTAACACTGGTAGATGTCACTAGTATATCTTTTAATACATTGTAAAAAGATATTCTATCCAGCTCTGAGGGTCCCTTTTTTTGTCATGGTTTTCTTCTAGTCGACATTGCTTTCTTTATTTCCTCATCTTCATTCGGTATTGATATGTCACCATAATATTTGATGTCTTGTGAATCAAGTTTTGGCTTGTTCCTCAGATACACATCCCAATTTGATTCTGGCTCTGCTACTTCTTTTCTTTTTTTCTTGTTATTTAGGATTTTTCTGGCATAGGCTTCTTTCTCTTTTCCTTTGCTACCTTCCAAGACGAGGAATTGAACTTCTTTGGTTTGTTTAGCCTTCTTTGTCACATTTTCCTTCTTCAGGCAATTTCTGGCTTGATGGCCTAACTTCCCAAATTTGTAGCATTTTTCATTCATTGCCCTTGGTTTACTTCCAGTACTTTCATTAGACATATTGAGCTTTTCAAACCATACTTTCAAGTCTCACATCTGTTGTGTTAATTCTTGAATTCTGCCTTTTAGCTTCTTTGTCTTGCTCAACTCCCTTTTTTCACTGGAGAATTCAAATTCTCTGTTGATTTCGGCTTGCTCCACCTTTTCTAGAATTTCATTTAACATTGTAGTAGCTATAACAGTAAAAGTGACAAAAATTCTTTTTCACAACCCTTCCATAAAGATTCTAATACCACCTCTTCCTAACAGATCATTATTAGAATCAGCCTTCCTTTGCAACTTTCGAAACTGGTGGATGTATGCCATTACTTGTTTATTACTTTTCTACCTAATGTTAACTAGATCAGCATACCATTGACATCGCTGTTCGAGGGTTATGAAGGTTTTTAGGAATAATGGTACGAAGCTTCTCCTTCAGTTTTCTTCGTCATCCCAGTAATCAAACTATTGTTGCTAATAATTGTATCAGTTTCTCACATTATTTTCCAAGTGACTTACCAACATTCTTAATTTTCTCTTGTCCAACCAGTTATTAGCTCTAACAACCCTTTCGTAGGATTCTAGCTATATGTATGGGTCTTCATTCTTTTCTCTTCAGAATTCTTGTGCTCTTACCCATAGTATGTTTTTTTCTTCAGTTGTTTTAAAGCATTTTCTTGATTCATTTTACTTTCTTCTATACTTGTTGCCTCCTTCACCAAAAAAGCCATTTTTCATCAGTTTGTTTATCTTGAAATTCATTTTATTGATTAGTAATCCAATTATAGTTGAATCATGGAATCTTGCACGATGCTAGTACTCTTTTGATTATGGTTTGTTTTTAGTGAACAATAGGTAATAATTAAAGTTTTTCTTATTTAGGTGTATGTGCAAAATATTGGGAGGGATAGTGAGAATTGCTCTCTATATGATTTATACTAGTCCTCTACCAAATGTTAACCATACCAGCAAGTCTGTTATTACTTCGAAACCAGGCTTGCCATTTTGCTGATACATAAGGGTCATGTTGCTTGCAATATCAAAAGTACTTGTTGATACAACAATTCTCTAACTTTTCTTCTTTCCACTTGTTCCTCTGGTACAATTCTTTACCAATAGACTTGATATTGGCTACCACAGGATTATTTAGGCAATAAGTATCTCAATAAGATAAGTTTATTAATTATCATTGCACAAATACAGGTTTGGTTATATAATTATATTGCAATTGACTATTATTATTACTACACTTTTGACTATTATACTCTACTTCTATTTATATTAGCTGAGACGCATCTACCAATCTAATGTCATATTATGCAAAACCTTTACTAACTATTTTAGTTTCGTAATGCATAATTTGATGCATCACATCATATTGTATAACCTGCACTGATCTTAACCCATCTATATATTTTTCTGCTAACAATATATACAAAGGTCACATAACTTTCTAACCAATTCTCAAATAGTTTTTCTTCATTTCAACCACTTTCTTAGCAATTAATAATGATTCAACATTCCTTCCCAATATACTAAAAGTCAAATTCTGGACCTTTTTCTTTAACAGCTCTATTAATCTTATCAAATTTTGCATTAATGCTATCCCTTTAACAATTATTAAAGGCCAGCACTATTAGCTAAACAATAAAAAATAATTCTTTGCTTGTATCTATTACAACTGTATATCAAAAAAATGAATCCTAAATCCATCTGACATGCCATACACTTAAACTCAAACTATTTACTTAAAATCATTCAGGAGTTTCTGAACTTCTTCTCAGCCATATCTCAAACAAATCCTTAAATTACAAATTCATTTTATCTTTTAATTAATCAATCAATCAACATATTTCTTTACTATAACAAAAATAACAACAACCTAACAGTCTCTAAACTAACCAATTCCTTAATATATACCTTATATCTTAATTTCTGAAGTATCTTTTGGCCAGTACTACACCAAATCCTTGCAGACTCTTTAACTCTTTCAATACTCAAAATATATTTTAACAAAACTCCTAATCTAAAAACTTCAGACTGCTTAAACAGATTAGTAAAAATTTTTTACAGTAGATTTATTATTGAATACAATGCTTATATATTAACAAAAAATCTTAATGTTATATGACACAAATTATAAAATCACTAACTTTACTTGCAACCTTTCTCAAAGTTAACTCACTAATTTTTTAATGCATCACATTTATATTTATACCTTTACTATTAATTAACAACACTTATGCAACATGTATTACCTTATATATCAAATTTATAAACCACTATACCAATCTGTTCGATATTTTTCTCAGCTATTCAGCAGTATATAAACTCTTATTTTTTGAGGAACTGGAAATCATCACTAAAGCAAATAACAAACTAAAGGCATATTACCAAATAAAATATAGAGCTCTTTCAATTTTTAAAATAAAACTTTTGGCTAATCAGCTTCCTATTGGAAGTAAATTATACAAACAATATTCTAGTCTCTATTCCAATAACCTGTATTCAAACTTTTTAATAAAAAACTCTTTCCCGTAAATCATTTTTTACCTGAAAATTTCCTTATTTGGTAATAGTCTTTTCAAGAAACTTACTTTCCAAACACTTCCAAGTGCTCACAACCACTAAATAACTCCTACCATGAAGCGCCCCATAACCAACAACAATAAAAAACAATTCTTACATATAACAATTCACCAGGACTGAAACCAACTCTTCCAAATTTTCTATCTCGACCTCAGTAATAACAAAATCATCAGAACAGAATTCGCAAGAAACCTTCTTATTTCCAACCTGACAAACTTTCCCAACCAATTCCTTATCGTAAGAGAAGGAAAAAACATTGAAGAAATTGTAAAAACAGGCTCTACAAATGACATCCGCATCCTCAACTTTACAATGGATACCAACAAAAGAGGGAACCAAAGCAGACTTTCCCAAACTCACATTTCTCTCTCTAATACCAGAAACACACCACTTAACTTCCAATATATTAGTAAAATCATAGAAAAAATGGAAAAAACCCAACTAAACACTGAACTCTACAACCGCCTTCAAGAATTTCTCTCTATCTCTCAAGGAACTATCAAAAACCCCAATTAGCTTATCCCTGAAAACGATCATCCATCAATCACTTCTCTTGTCTTCCAAAAAAAAACGTCGATCAAACAACCATAATGCATACACATGCAAGCCTCCTGATTACCACTTCAATCTTTACTGAATCTAATAATTCTACAAAAATCAGCGCAACAATGGACACACCAATGAAATTATCTAACCTGGATCCTGCCAAACCCAAACAAACCAATCAAACAAACATCACTCCAGTTACCCCTTCTGACAATCACATGACAACACCCAGCTTTAGCATGGAAATCAGTGAAATTCTTCCTACAAGCCAATCAAATTTAATGATAATAGATGATATCGTCGACCTTGACGAACTTGTCAAAAATCCTACGCAACCAAAAAATACTCCATATGCATGGTCATCCTCATTCAAACAACAAGTTCAAACAGAACTTCAAGAAATCAGGGATACTAAACACTATGAAACACTCAGAGCTGATACTGAAAAACTAGTTAATAATCTCCTACGAGCACCAAACGATATA